CAGTTTGCAATGACCAAATCTTATAATAGCACTTGTCTCTGTAATTCATTGGCATTGAATATATATTACTTTATAATATTAGTTGTCTTTTACAAGTTGAGATGCTTGCTCTTCACTTAGTTCCTTCAGGTCAGGGACCATGTTTTTTGGTATATACAAAAAGAGTACTCAGGTGACAAGCATTCAATGAACTGATGTCACTGATATAAAGTCTCTGATGAGGGTGATCACAGAAGTCTGATGTAATAATCTGTGCTGTTGTCATACCTTCAATAAGCATATCAACTCTTGACTTAAGATACTGTTGGACAGAGAGGGTAGTGAGGTTCTGACTTTTTAAGAACATATCCAAAAATAAATAACTGTTGGTTTTGAACTTCTGTTTATGATTCTTTTGATCTGATATTATAAATGTGTTCATAATTTATTAAAATAACCTACTTTTCTGAACTGAAATTAAAATACTTCACCTTTAGTTGCTGATGAATGGATTTTGTTATAGGCTCTTGAAATTAAAGTCTTTCTTGTACCCTAAAGAGAACAATTTGAGAAATAATGATTAAAAATTTTAAAAAATTAAAAAAAAAAATAAAGTCTTTCTTGGGTTAAAATAATGCAAAACTTTATGACTATTGCTTATAATAAGCCCTTCCCTTAGTTCTATAATAGAGTTTCAAGAGAAGTCAAGGGCCCATGATACTAGTTTCCTATACCATTGCTAATTTCTCTGAGTTGAGATCACACATTGACAGAGATTATTCACACTGCAGAGGTGTGTTATTGTGATATTGGAATCCTAATAGTAGTTGTAAAATTTTATGGTTTAAAAAAATTACACACCCCTGGAGACATGCTTTAAACAAACACCAACATGGTTTTTTAAATTGAAAAGGTGAAATGTCTAGACTTTGCCTTTAAGTATTGATCAAATATCAACCTTGATGTAAGAATACTGCAAATTTGGCTTCATTGTGAGCTAGAATAATGTCTCCTTGTGATAAGACTATTCTAATCTTGTTTTGCTTCAGTCTTTACCCAAAGAAACAATTCAGTGGTTTTCAAGTAGTCAGTTTCAATTGGTTTTAAAAAGGCAATGTGGTGGTGTGTTAAAGTACCCTGATTTTGATGTCAGGACTTCAGATTAGAATTGTGGCCCTAGTACTTAATAGTTGTGTGACCTTGAGCAAATCACTTCCTCAATATCCTCATTTACCAAATGGAGATGACATCTTTCCTATATACTTGCAAAACTTCCAGTCTCCTAGATCACTGTCAGTTGTTGTTTAACCTTGCTAGGTGGTATTCATGATTACTAAAGTTCATGTAGTTTAAATGGATTAATCAAATGTTATAAGAGTATGATATTCTGATATACTAAACTTACTGCTCAACATTTTGAGTTCATATGAAACTGGAAGTAGGACTAATGACTTTATTCTTTCCTCCTTTAATTTTAATAAGGGAAGTTGAAGATAAAAAAAAAACCTTTTAAGAATTTTATGATCAAGGAATAAATTTAAACAGGTTGAATGACTAATGGAAAGTATGCTACTTTGGCAGAGAAGACTAATAAATGTTCATTTAAGACAACAACAGTAACTGTCAGCCAAGCAGTCTTTTCTCCATTTTCCAGATAAAGAAAATGGTTGAGTAATTTGTTTATGATCACACAATATGACATATATGGAATTCAAATATCAAATGCTAGATCTGCCTGAGAACACCACTTTCTAATATACCATCGGTTTTCAAAATTTAGTGTGCATCAGAACCCGTGGTGCCTACTCCAAATGCAGATTCTCAGACACCTTCTTTAAAGATGCATTGTTATAACACACCATGTGATGTGATGACTGCCTAGGATCTATACTTAATAAGAGCCTGTTAGCTCTGTTAAGAAGTATCTTCAAATCTACACAACTAGTTATTGAAAACTTCCTACTCAAGAAAAATAAAAAAAATCATATATCTTTACAATAAATTAGTATTCAATTGTCTTTTTTATCTGGCTGTAAACTAGAGTAGTTCCAAACTACTATAGTCCTTACACTCTTACTAAAAAGGCTTTTAGGTAATATATTCCAGAAGCATGTAGCAAGGATTCTCGCTAAATTTGAAAGTGGTAAAACATAAGCCTACTTCACTGAATTAATCCTAAAATTTATCATCCAAACTGGGACACTTTTGAGGGTGAAAAGGGGGACTATTAATAATGATGTAAAGATAACATCCCAAGCCAACCATAGTAGGAAAAACTTTTCTTACCATGCTCTACTACTATTATGTATTTTTACACTATTAATGCCATATTCCTAGTCCAAAACAATCAGTGGGTTTGCCATGGGTTTAATTTTCTTAATTGGAAGAATATTGTTTAAAAGGAAGAAAATACTACTTTTCTTGTGTGTACAGAGTCAACCTAAAATGAGATGTAGTTGTGAAGAGAACACCAGTGAAACGACTGAAGACCTGCTTTCAGATCCCGGAATACCACTTTGTAGTTATGACCTTGGACCTTGGATCCCATGAGCTCTGGCATTCTGTGATTCCAAGAAAGACATCCTTGGCATTTTGTAACTCTCAGGTTCATCATCTGTAGAATAAGGATAATAATACCCACTTCAGAGTTATTCATGGATAAGTAAGGTACTAAGCACATTTGACGGTGTCCTGTAAAACCTAATCTGTTATACCATGGGCAATAAATATGAAGGAAAACATTATATTGCCTCTTAACAGTAGCTGTAGTGATATTACTGGATACCTGAAGATGGTTTTTGATATAAATATTGGTATTTTAAGAGCTCTCTGGTCCTCACTGGATTTCTTGGTAGGATAGAGTGTTCTGCATCATCCCTCAGTAGCCACAGGCATGACAGCAATCACTGTTTGTGGGAGAATGATTGTTACAGTGTCTTTATTGTAATTATACATTAAAAAGGAAAAAAAACTAATCCCATTACTTTCAGTACTATAAAACTAGACTTGACTTTCAGGAGCACTGTCCTAGGACATTCTCACTACGAGCCAGCCGTTGAAGTCCTCTGGCCCCATCCTTGGAGCTAAGCATGGCAGGTTAACACCAATACCACCTTACAGCATGAGTGTGTGGAGCAAGCCTGTGATGGAGTCATCAGGACCCTCGAGTACTGGTACTGTCCTAGTCACTATCTAGCCACCTGTAGAAGGAGAGGACAGATTAGATGATTATGAAGGATCCCATGAACTCTGGCATTCTATGATTCCAAGAAAGGCATCCTTGGCATTTTGTAAGTCTCAATGACTAACTTCTTAAATATTTTCCTTTACATTTCCCTGTTCTTTCTCAAAACAGAAGAAAAAGTTTAAGCAAAATTTAACAGAAATAGACAGCTGAAGCCGAGATTTAAAGTAGTTTGAGAATACATTTACAATGAAATACACAGATAAAATAGTTGTTCCATTAAAAAACATTTATTCTTTTCAACATGAAAATGAAAATTGCAGTTATAAACATGAACAAGAAACATTTGTTTTACAAGGTAACTTGCTTTATGACCATGACCTTATGGTACTAGACGAGATGATGATTACAGGCCCTATAAGTTCTAAGTTCTACAATTCTGAGACATTCTTGGCATTTTACATGTCAGAATTACTGCCATCTTTTTTTGGATATTTTCCCTCACATTTGCCAGTCCATTCTCATTATAGAAGAAAATGTTTAGCATACAATTACAGAAACAGAAGTTTTAAATAGAGATTTAAAGTAACTTCAAAATACATTTACAGTGAAATATACAGATAAAATAGTTGCTGAGTCAGGAAACATTCTTTTCAATATAATGAAGTGGAGACAATGACTATGAACCAAGGAACATGTGTCTTACAAGGTAACTCTGAATTCTTTTAATTTTGAAACTAGAGACATGTACACACTTACAGAATTTATACAATACTATATTCAAAATAGGTTTTTAACCTCTAAGAATGAATTCTCAGTAATAAGCTTTAGATATGCAACTTAGCCTATTGGATATCAACTTTATCACAATAAGCAACCACATACAAATAGTTTCCTCACATCCCCAGAGCAAGAAAGTAAAATAAGACACTATTAAAGTAAAAAAATAAAAATAAAAACCTCTCCAAAGTGCAAATGATTAAAGTCCAAAGAACATATTTACAAATAAACATAAGATTTCAATTATTCAACTGAGCAAGTGACTTAATTTGTATATTAACTCCTTTTTTTACTATTTCCTGATTCCTGACTGTGGGAAGTTTGGCTTGGTTTTTTGTTTGTTTTGAGACAGGGTCTTTCTCTGTTGCCTGGGTTAGAGTACAGTGACATCATCAGAGCTTACTGCAACATCAAATTCATGGTTTCAAGCAATCTTCCTGCCTCAGCTACCCGAGTAGCTAGGACTGCAAGTGTGCACCACCACAGCTGACTAATTTTTAAATTTTTTTGTAGAGATGGGGTCTTGCTATGTTGCCCAGGCTGTTCCCGAACTCCTAGTTTCAAATGACCTCCCTCCAAAGTGCTGGGATTACAGGTATGAGCCACTGTGCCCAGCCTGATTCTGGCAATATTTATTCTGCACCTACTATGCAAGACATTAGGAACATAAATAAAGATCAGATAAGGTCTAGTGGTGTGCTGGTAAATGTTTAATAATCAGCTCTTTAAAGGAAGATAATCTTTATTACTGCATTTACCAACTGCTATGGTGTCAAAACTTCTACTCTGGCAGATTTCAAGCTACTGCTAATTTAACAACTGGCCCACAAAATTCCTGAAACTAACAATCATCTCTCACAAGCCATTGTAAGTCAGCTCTAACACACCACTGTAGGAAGTCCACCCTCTCAAGTAGCTCATAATCTCTTCATGGGTACATATTTTAGAGGACAGAAAAGAATGGGGAAAATGGAGATAAAATTTAAATACTTCAATTATATTTTTTGTAGGTAGTTTTAAAAGTTAAAAGGAATATTAAAATCTGTGTCATTTTCTTATTTCTCCTCTTTACTATCCCCCTTTTTTCATAAATTGATTCTAGGAAATCTTAAGGGAAAGTAAAAGATGAGTGGAATAAGAAGAAAAAAAGACAAGCTAAGACATCCTAAGAAATATACTAATAGTTATGTTTACATTAGGAGAAAAAAGCCACTAAGAGCAAATATAACTATTAAAATTCCATTTTCTTTAAGCCCCTGGAGTTCAGTTCAGAAGTCTTGAAGATCTATCCTGACCTCTTTGGCTGCTACTTTGATGAGATTGGCTAGGTTCTTCAGCACTACACTAAAGAGCATACAGGTTCACAACATTCACACAAATAGCTCATATCTAAATTCTGGAGTCTGAAAACTGATCTTCCTTTGCATAGTCACCTCCCTTGTGTCAGATCTTGGGCAACTGCCGGTTGGGGTGACCAGGGAATTCTTCTGGTAGCAAAACATGAAGTCTGCAGGTTGGGCATGTCCCCTGTTGCATCAACCATGGTCTGATGCACTAAGGAACAAAAAGATTCGTGTCAGTTTCTCAGATTTAGCCCAGCAGAGGCAGCTGTGTCACTCTCTCTATATATACATTAGGGTTACCTACTGACATGTCTTCCAGTCCCTTACCCTATGGACTGTCAAGCCAACTGCTACAACCATGGCACTTTCTTTGTGGTTTGTTGAGCAATATAGCTGGTAATACCTTTTTTTTTTTTTTTTTGAGATAGGGTCTTGCTCTCTTGCCCAGGCTAGAAGTACAGTGTCATCATTATAACTTACAGCAACAAACTCCTGGGCTCAATTGATCCTCCTGCCTCAGAATCTGAGTAGCTGGGACTACAGGTGCATACCACCACGCTCAACTAATTTTTTTTTTCTTTGCAGAGATTAGGTCTCACTGTATTGCCCAGGCTGGTCTCAAACTCCTGGCCTCAAGTGACCTGCTTGCCTTGGCCTCCCAAAGTGCTGGGATTACTGATAAGAGCTACTGCACCTGGCCTACCTGGTAATACCTTTTAGCCAGTTTAAACTATTAGGATTCTTCTCCCAACCCCAATTTTCAAGATGACTAGCAATTCTTCCTGACAAGGAAATTGGGGAAACTTGCTATATTCTCTTTAGTTTATTATATATTCTTATTTATAATTCAGAAAAAGTCAGAAGTAAACATATAAAAGTCACCAATACCTTATATCAAGTACTTATGGTGTTCTGAGGTTAAAATTCCTAGATAATGAATATACTTCTCAGATTATTTTCTTTGGTGACAATGGTAGTATCTTTGGCCATGAACTAGTTATTAAGTCACTTGCTTGAATATTGACCCTCCAAAAACAAATAATTTTTACCTGTCTGAATAATGGAGAGCCAGGTCAGATGAGAGGATTAAGGATGGGTACTATATGTGAGGCCCACTAACTCCAATCCTAAAAAGTAACCTGAATGAATTATGTGCTTTCTATTCAATAAGCAATGGCAAAGAATAAATTGTTTTGTTAAACATGTATTTTCTAAATTGTCAGGAACTTAAAAACTTCAAATAGGAAAGTCAGTGGCTAAGTATCTTTCCTGAAGACCTTTTGGGATTAGGCATTTTGTATATCTCTCTTCATATCAGATAAGATGCAATATATAATTCTGTAGCAGGTACCACATGTTATGTCTTTGAAATGATGTTTTACAAACATGGTTTGACTGGCTATTGTTCACTTCCCCAAAAAGCCGTTCTTGTGTAAGATGATCTTTTCCTGTGTCAAATTACATCTCTGCAACAAAGGATTTGGATCACAAATTATATAACAATAGCAACTGCAAGGTAACAACACCAGGAGTTAATCTACATAAATGCCGAGAATCAACAAAAGATATGCTGGCCTCACATTTGCTAACATCAAAACTGAAGCCTGAGCATCTTCAAAAGCAAATTTTGGAGCCTGAACAGACTGCTAAGATAAGTCTTATGCTTTATAATAATAGGGAGCCATCATTAATTATGGACAAAGGACACCATGTGATATTTATAGTATGCCAAGGTGAAGTGTCACTGTTGCTAGTTCTGCCACTAACCTACCATGTCAATCAACATTTCTCCCAGTTCTATGCAGGGGAACTGCCTACTGTGTAGCATTTAAATATCTACATTGTCTTCTTCTCCTGTAAGGTGTTATGGAAATCTGAGAAAGCATAATGAAATCCATGGCTATGTATGGGAAAGGTGAAAATGTTTCTGTGTTGTACCCAAAAGTGCAGTTATACCCAGTGGAACTCATGACACAACAGTGGAAGATGATGCATGTATGTGATTTTAAGTAAGGTGGTATGACTCTCACTTAGCTGATCAGTGATAAAGCATTAAAGGAGAAATTTAAAGGGTTACCTGAGAGTGGAATTTGTGAGCACAAGGCAAAACTGAAAGGTTTTCTGGAGATAGATTCTCATGACAGATCACACAAGGTTCTTCTTCCTCCTCCTCTTCCTCCTAGGGAAATATATATAATGTTAAATTTAGCTCATTTTTTTTCCTCCAAAATCTAAATGTGTTCAGAATCAACAATTTTATTCTTACCAAATTACTGGCTCCTTCCCATGTGGCAGAACCTTGTGAACTGAGGGGCCTCCAGGATGGTTTTGGAGGCTGGGTAGCATTAGGCTGTGATGGAGAATGGCTAGGTGAAACACAATTACCATTTGCCACAGATTTTCCTTGACTCTGAAAATAAGAATATAATAATTTTTTAGAAACATTGTAAAATAGTAAGAATAGAATAGCACAGAAAGTGGTATAGCAAGATTTAGTTAAAATGATCATATTTGTAAGAAATCTTGAAATAAAATGTTGGCAATCCTTATATACTCAGAGCTAGGTAAAGACAAAAATAGCTCTGGATGTCCTTTTAATTAAAATATATGTTTCCAGAAAAATAGGAAAAAATGTCTGTCTTTGGAAGCCAAAGAAACCTAGAGTAAATTGCAAGGGGGCCAGTTCTATTCTAGAATAATCAGATAATAGATATTTCCAAAAGATTTCCTATATCATTTGTCAAAGTTGTTGAATTATTTACTGTTAACAGATGATTTAATATGATTAAAAGTTACTGATTTTCTGAACATGTTAAGAAGATAATTAAAACTGCTAACTACTAGAGAGAGAGCAGAAGGAGAGTGTTGGCTTTTTTTTTCTTTCTTTTTTACCTGAGATCTCTTCGGTTCAATAAGTTGGGAAATCTTGTAAACAATTTCATCAAATGTCAGTCCAGATAAGGACTTCCCATGAGCATCCTTCAATTTTCGTAATAAATCTGTAAGCTCCTTTCTGGAAGAAATCAAGGAAACAGCAGTGGTGATTTTTCCTATTGCCTTGAGGATGTGCCCTCCAAAGGAGATATAAAATCCTATCATGATTCATGTGTAGCATATAGATGTAACTTTTGATCTTTAATCTAAAAAAATAATCACAGGCCCATCTTAATTTATCTTCAACCAAAATGAAAACTCCGAATTGAGTTCATTAATGATACTTAATGTATTCATGAGTGATAAAGTTTAGCATTTATTTTTTTCTAAAAAGAAACTTTAACTTTGTTTTTCAGAGCTCACTATGAGAAAATTGAGTTTATCTACTTGTTTATGCACTGAACTCTTTATTATCACATTTCTCAAATATTCTCTTATTCAGGACTAAAATATTCCTTCTTAACTATGTTGCTACTGGTTTCTTTCTTCTTTAGCAGTGTTAATAGTTTTACTTTTATAAAACTCATGAACAGAAAATAAAGATTAAAAAGAACAGAAAAGCAAAGGTTAAAAGATACATTAAGTACATGATAAGGGAATCTATAATTATTTTAATTGATATGTTCTTTTTCAGTTCCCACAATCCACTAACTCAAAGCCTATGTCTACATTTTTATAGAACAAAGTAGGATGAAATATTTTTCTTTCTCAAATGAATTGTCATGACATCAGCCTTATACAACTACTTTTGATTTACAATTTATTCTTTTATATATATTTATAACAACTGCACTAAAGTTCTATTTTTATTATGTATTTACTATTATGAAATTTATAAGACCATAATCTAATCCTAAAGTATGACAGTGTATATATTAAATAAATGTGTTGGTCTTCAAATGAAAATACTGGTGAAAACTAGATTTCCTTAGATAGGATAGAGACAAAAGAAACTTCATTTGTGTAGGGGTAGAATTAAATATCTTTCTGCTAAAATCAGATAGTGAAAAGCACAGTGAGATTATAATTTCTTGCGTTTTACTGTGTTCCCTACCAAAAAAAACTACACAGGTCCTCAATAAAATTAAGGAAATAGGAAACTAAAACCTGGAGATCTTTGGGCTTATGTAGCATATAATCAACTTAAAATTCACTTTGAAAATAGGTCATTAAGATAATTATTGCAGCTGGTGGCATTAAAATTGGATAGGTTTAAAACTAGTTGCACTTTCAGTAAATGAGCCATCTAAATTTAAAAGTTATTCTCTAAAGAATTAAGACTAATAACTTTAATGAAAAAATTTAGCATTTCCACTGAACATTATACCTTCTTGGTAAATTTCATTCTCTTTACTAAGGTAAGAAGTATCTGTACTTTGTGTGCGTGTGTTATGTTTCTCTGAAACGTTTCATTGCCATATTATGGCTATGGAAACTGTAGAATATGATCTGTACTCACCACTGAATTAAAACTAAGGTACCTGGTCTGTTGTGGAAAGGCGGTTTTCAGCCTGTCTGTAATCCTCTCCCAATTCATCATAGAGGGATCACTTCCCAGACCTGCATTGGGAGGCACAGCCTCTGCCACAGGAGCGGGCATAGTCCAGGCTATGCCAGTCATCTGTAAGGGGCACAAAGTTATAAATCATCAGCTTCAATTATTAAGAAGTGATTTTCTATGCCACCATGACATTTCCACACCTCATAAAATGGGTAGAATGAAGAAAAATACTGACATATATGTTCCTCCTTTTAGAGTTTTTTCTTAACTAATGCAAATAATATTTCTAATTGTTTGTAACTATTTTTAACTTATTCCAGAAAAACATGAAGGCTGTTTATTGCTGTATTTTTTTAACAGTAAAAAGCTGAAAATAATCCAGGGTTTAATATTAGAAAAATGAATAAATTATGGCACATCTAATCAAATTCTAAAAATTAGATCCATTATGTCTGGGCATGAGAGATAACCACAAAATATTTTTTTCTTAAAGTTTGTGACACAGTGTCTATGGTATGACTCCTTTTATATTAAAATTTTTTTAATGCAATATATATATATGTCTAAGTTATATAACAATCTGTAAACAGTGATTATTTCCTAGGGATTCAATTGTAATTATGCTTTCTAGCTTGTATATTTCTATAATATATTATTTGCTTTTTTATAATTAGCACATACACTTTTATAATTAGAAAATAAAGTTAAATTTTCAAACAACTAAATAAAGATGGGACTACTACTAGAATTGCTCTGTCCAATGTCTCATGAATGTTATAGACAAAGGTGGTATAGAAGCTGTAGTGACATCTCTGAACCATGAAACCAGTTTTCCTCATATTTTATGATAGTTCCTTCTTAGAACCATGGAGATTCTAATTAATTAAAATATCAATAAGTGAATTTTTTGGAGTGCTAATCTGATGACTAAATAATTATATACATGGCATCTTTTACCTATGACTCTGTGGGTTATTTTCAAATATCAGTAAGATTATTTATAAAAAATTGGAAACTTAACAGTCATTGGAATAACTTATGCAAAGCCTAATAAGTGAGAGGAACAGAATACTGCCCAGAAATCTGAATTTTCCTCAATATTAAGCTTTCTCTGAGTAATCAGAAAGTAATTTTATTAGAATATTAGGTATTTTAATGTTTTATAGTTCCTTATAGAATAATAGACAAGTAAAATGCATAAGTAACCTATAATATCATGGTGAAAAAAGATATAGTACTTATTTAAAAAGTTAAGGCCTTTATACATATTTGTTTGTAGATGGGTAGAATGTACAAAAATGAGCAGAGTCCATCTGATATGACTATAAAAAAGGAAGAGAAACAATTAAGTGGGCTTAGATGTACTCATAGGAAAGTCAAGATTAGAGAATTTTACATTAATTATATCTAACATCACTATTTGGAAGAAGATTTTTTTTTTTTTTTTTTTTGAGACAGAGTCTCGCTTTGTTGTCCAGGCTAGAGTGAGTGCCGTGGCGTCAGCCTAGCTCACAGCAACCTCAAACTCCTGGGCTCGAGCGATCCTTCTGCCTCAGCCTCCCGAGTAGCTGGGACTACAGGCATGCGCCACCATGCCCGGCTAATTTTTTATATACATATCAGTTGGCCAATTAGTTTCTTTCTATTTATAGTAGAGACGGGGTTTCGCTCTTGCTCAGGCTGGTTTTGAACTCCTGACCTTGAGCAATCCGCCCGCCTCAGCCTCCCAGAGAGCTAGGATTACAGGCGTGAGCCACCACGCCCGGCTAAGATTTTTCTTTTAACAAAAGTTTATCTTAGCCAAAATTACAACCAATAATTCTATTTAATTTTAAATTTCTTTATTTCTTCAGGTTTGGATAAAGCTTATCTAGCTATCTGTAGGTGGGAAGATTTATAATTTTACAGTATATGTTCCAAGATGATGCTATTTATATTGTCTATTTATAGATATAGTTGAAACACTGTCCTATGTGTGCGTGCGCGTGTGTGTATGTGTAAATAAAATTTTTCTTTAGCTTTGTGGTATCATTTAGTTTGTTGTGACTTGGCTTCTTTGCTTTTCAATTTTCCCATAACCATGCTAAAAGTAATCTATTAAAAAATATCAAGTTACTCTGCATCGTTGCCTGTTATAAAGCAAAGCTGTAATTTAAAAGACTCTCTAGTATAGAAATATATTTATCTCTGTATCCCCAAACTATGCTAATATCAGTTAAATAATATATGTAATACCCTTAGCAAAATGCTTCATGGGAAGTATTTATTCAATTATCATCATCACTACCATCACTCATCATTATCCATACCAAATAAATGAATAAAGAGAAGATATTCATTCAGGAAGCCCACTATAGTGATAAAAAATTAGCTCATGTCTTTTTCATTGAAAAAGGCTCTTACCAGGGGGCCTCTAGGTTGGCCAGGTGCAGAAATGACTCCAGGGCAAACTGTAGGCATTTGAGGAACAGTAAGTATGGGTCTAAAGAAAGATTCTTTCACAAGGGGTCTTCCCAAGAACTGCTGCATCTAAATAGAAAAAGTAAAAAGTTAAAACAAAAAACCCATACACATTTATGTATTTACATAAGCAATGATCTAAATGTATATCAGAACATTAGGTAAATGTATGAATATCTTAAAAAGTAAAGAGCAATATCAATATACCAGAAAGAGCATTACAAAAGAGTAAAAAAATGCATTCTATAAAGTCCCACTTTTCTCTACCTAGCTGGGCAACCTTGGATGACAAGCTCCTAATCTATAAAATGAGAGGGTTAGGTGGGGTAATCTTTTTATGTTGCCTCCCAACCCTCCCAACTGTAACAATATAGAACTATGCAAATGGGATTCTCAGTGACTGCTGTCTATGTTGGTGAACACTACTGATACTCAGAAATTTCACAAAAGAACTCAAAGTTATCCATAGAAAATATTTCTTTATTATGTACTGGAGACACCACTTGATGAAATTTCAACTTCATGTTTAGCTCCAAGAAAGTAGAAGGATGAAGTGGGATAGACCTTAGGGATAAACTCTCCTACAGTGACTTATAGATATACTTGTTGGTGTTATTGTACTTCCCAGGGGGTTGTGGATAACTAGACCTCATTAGCACCTATGGATAGGAAAAATACCTTGTTGACTGAAGTACAGAAGAGGACAGATTTACTGAACACATACCATGTGCCAGGCCTGACATAAAGCAGTTCAATAACAATCTAAGTACAAACATGAACAATATCAACATAGCTCTAAATGACAATCCTAAAATTACCATTTGAAAAATAAATGGGGAACTTTTATAATGGATGGATTGGGTTGACATTTGATTCTTAACATCACTCAAGAAGAGACATTATATTCCTTCTAGGCAAGAAAAAAGACATTTTGAGACAACTGGGGAAATACAAATTTTAACTATATTTTAGATATTATAAGTACTTATAATTTTCTTAGGTAAGATAATGGTGTTATGACTATATCTAATAAGAGTTTCTCATCTTTTAGGATATATCCTAAAGTAAAAATAGATACAATTACATGATATCTGGGGTTTGCTTTAACATATTCAGGTAGAGAGGAAGAAGGGGATAATATAAATCAAGACTGAAAAAATGTTGATAATATTGAAGTGACTCAGGTTTGTAGAGGTTGATTACACTATTTTTATATATGTTTCAAGTTTTTATAATGTAAAGTTTTTAAAGATTAAATAAATGGTGGGTACTGAGTCAACAGCCTGCCCTCTGAGAACTATTACTTAACACTTTTTAAATTTCTACTTTTAATTGACACATAATAATTGTACATATTTATGGAGTATAATGTGATATTTTGATACATGTATACATTGTATAATGATCAAATAAGGGTAATTAACATATCCATCAACTCAAACATTTATTATTTCTTTGTTGTTGGAATATGCTCTTCTAGCTATTTTGATATCTATATAATACCTTATTGTTACCTATAGTCACCCTACTATGCAACAGAACACCAGAACTTATTCTTACTTCTAATTGTAACTTTGTGCCCAAAGACCAACCTCTCTCCCTTCTCTCTACCCTTCTCAGTCTTGGTAAATAGTGTTCTATTCATTTGTTCTATAAGATCAACCTTTTTTAGACTCCACATATGAGTCAGATCATGCAGTATTTGTCTTTCTGTGCCTGGCTTATTTCACATAACATAATATCCTCCAGGCTTATCATGTTATTGCAAATGACAGGATTTCATTTTTTATGGCTGCATAGTATTCCATTGTATATTTATGTCACATTTTCTTTATCTATTCAATCTTTATGGAGACTTAGGTTGTTTTCATATCTCAGCAATTGTGAATAATGCTGCAATGAACACAGGAATGCAGATATCTCTTTAAGATATTAAGTTCATTTCCTTTGTATATATATCAGTAGTGAAATTGTTGGATCACATGGTAGCTCTATTTTTAATTATTTTAGGAACTGTTATACTGTTTTCAATAATAGCTATATTAAATTACATTCCCACCAACAGTGTATGAGGGCTCCCTTTTCTCTACATCTTTGCTAACATTTGATATGTTTTGTCACTTTAATAGTAGTCATTCTAACTGAAGTGAGGTGATATCTCACTGTGGTTTTTATTTGCATTTCCCTGAATTCTTCCCATCCATGACCATGGGATATCTTTTCATTTATATGTGTTCTTCTCAATTTCTTTCATCAGTATTTTATAGTTTAAACAATACAGTGATCTTTTAACTCCTTGGTTAAATTTAGTTTCAGGTATTTCTTTTTGGTAGCTATTGTATATGGGATTGTTTTCTTGAGTTCACTATTAGCATACAGAAATGCTACTAGTTTTTATATGTCAACTTTGTATTTTGCAACTTTACAGAATTCATGTATTAGTTCCAGGAGTTTTTTGGTGGAATCTTTGGGATTTTCTATATGTAAGATCATGTTGTCTGCAAACTGGGACAATATGACTTCCTCTTTTCCAATCTAGATGCCTTTTATTTCTTTCTCTTGCCTAACTACTCCGGCTAGGGCTTCCAATACTATACTGCATATAAGTGGGCATCCTTGACTTGTTCTAGATCTTAATGGAAAAGCCTTCAACTATTTGTCATATATGGCCTTATTGTGTTGAGGTATATACCTTCTATACCTAATTTGTTGGCAGTTTTTATCATGAAGCAATGTTGAATTTTGTCAAACATTTTCTGCATCTTTTGAAATGATCATATGGTTTTCATCCTTCTTTGTGTTGATGCGGTGCACCATATATACTAATTTGTGTATGTTAAACCACCCTTACATCCCTGAAATAAATCCCACCTGATCATTGTGAATGATCTTTTTAACACTTCTTTGAGAATTAAATAGCCAGGGTACAAAAATAAGATATAACGAAACATGTAAAATTACTGGGTTACACTGGGAATGGTCCACATTATGGTAGATTTCTCAAGATGGACTACTGTACATTTTAAGTCTGGTGATCACTCCTTAGAATGCTTGAATCTCAGAGATAGATGAGACTTTAGTGATCAAATCATCTAGTACAATTTCCTAATTTAATCATGGGAAAATCAAAGTCCAAAACAGCTGATTTTCCCAAACCAATATAGTTCTTCAAAAAGTTAACATCTGAACCCAGACCTCTCTAGGGTACTTCTACTGTATAACACCACCTCAAATTATAACCAATAGCACTGTAACATTTCTAGCTGTTTTTTTCCCCCTCAATCTCTCTCTTCTAAAGCTTCATGGTCACTAATACTTGCACTTTAACTGCTGTGCTGATCAAGCACAGCAGTGACTCTGGTTAGGAAACACAAAAGATACATGTGTACCCCTCAGGCTGTTAGCAAAGGATGCAAAGGATGAATTACCATACAGCTTAAATGCCAGTAGGTTTTTGTGCTTAACTAAACCTGGGTAAGCCACATCAGACATGAGAAAGTCTGCAAAGGAATTAAAGGTCTAGAGCTGCAGTGCCCCTCCCCAGGTTGCAGATTAATACAGGTCTGTGCCTATTAGGAATTGGGCTACACAGTAGAGGTGAGTGGTGGGAGGGCAAGCAAAGCTTCATCTATATTCACAGCTGCTCCCCATTGCTCACATCACCATCTGAGTACTGCTTCCTGTCAGATCAGTGGTGGCATTAAATTCTCATAGGAGCACAAACCCTACTGTAAACTGCACATGTGAGGGATCTAGGTTGCACACCCCTTGTGAAAGTCTAATGCCTGATGATCTGAGGTGGAGCTGAGCTGGTGATGCTAGCACTGGGAAGCAGCTACAAATACAGTATCATTAGCAGTGAGTTTTAAGTGCACAATAAATGTAATGCGCTTGAATCATCTCAAAACTATCCTCCTTCCCCCGTCTATGGAAAAACTGTCTTCAATGAAAACGGTCCCTGGTGCCAAAAAGGTTGGGGACCGCTAATCTAGAAGATCTGGAGGTCAAGGTTTGACTATGTTTGTCAGTTATGGAGTATAATTGGTAACAGACAACCAAGACTTATGCGGGTCTGGTTCTGGGAAACTCCAAAGAACAACTCTGTATCTAGTTTCACAGTCTCTGGAGCAATATTGTATTTAGAATAATGGGAGAGTTTAACTACAATCTAAGGGCATTATTTTGAATATGGGCAGAAGGTCCAGATATTTAGACATCCTACCAAAAATACGTATTACTGCAGGGATTTCTCTGTCAGCTACTTAACATGTGTCTTATCAGGGTGGTTGGGTAAGATGATGATCCAAGCCTAGAATAATAATGTTCATAAAACAGTGCTCCTATAGAAACTGAATTGACCAAAAATATAAAAGGCAACAGTATCATTCTAAGCTATAGCCCATAGTGTATAATATATAAATTCTTTTAGCTATAGATTCTGCTTTGAAATACACAGCATTAACTCCATCTAATTCATATAATTTTTAAGTTCTTTGTTATATTCAACCATGAGTAGAAATAACATTTTCAGAGCTCTACTACAAGCAGGAGTCCTAATATCAAAAGTCATCTGCCCCCAAATATCTTACACTTTTCTTCTCTTCCTAGCCCCAGATCTGTTATGATAATAAAACTATCACCTAATGATACCCTCTTAAAAGGTCTTTTGGAAAGCTGTGTGATTTTACTGGGTTAGGGTACTATGTTTCCCAGAAGGGTAACATAAATAGTATAGTATAGAGATTAGTTTATCTGATTAAGATCCACTGGCCCCTAACAACAAGCAGAGAAGGGGTATTAAGTGGAAGCTGTCCTTGCTGTTGAAGGCAGAATATAATATAAAACTTAAGGAAAAGAAAGTCTAAAGTAGAAGTGAGGAGGAGTGAAGTCCAGCCTTCCAGGGTATAATGCCAAAATGCTTCAGTCATCTAGTGGTAACATGAGGGCACTGGGAATTCTGAGTATTCACCAGTTATCTTCCATGATGTAGGAGAGACTGATGGGATAAATGAGAGAATATTACTCTATAGACATGTAATGTATCACTAATACCCAGTGATACAATCTACTATCTAGGCCTCAGCTGAGCCGGCCAACTAATTATATCATCTGGTGACTAGCAGGTATAGTCATAATTACAACTGATAATGTGCCTATTCCATTTTGAACGCACACTAAACATGTGTGTGTTCAGTGTTTTATAGCCCTAACAATTTTGTCAAAATGAAGATGGCAATTTTTCAGAATGTCATATTTCTTACCAGTATCTCAGGACTGGGTGGTGGTGGGGGAAGCTGAACTGGAGGCAAGGTACTCAACGCAAACCCTTGCTTTACCTTGTTGATTTGTTCATTGTACTGTGTCTGGTAGAGGAAGAGTAAAAATATTTTAGGGCACAATCAACTTTAAAGAAACAACATATGGGAATACTTGATGTAGTTTTTAATGATACAATATAGAATAGTAGTTCCCAAGCTATGGTCAGAAATAATATTTAAAAAAAGCTTCTGAAATAAAAACAATTATATAGACCACCATCTCCACAAGTAAATAGCTGTATTTTTTTAAATGTTGATTGACAAGAAACACAGACACACAATTTACAGATCCTTGCGATAATCTCCCAAGTGTTTCCATAATTTTCAGCTCTAAAATAGAAACCACTGTTACAAAGTAAAAAAAGTCTAAAGATTCAAGAAGATATAAATAATACACTGGCTAATAAATAGAGAAAAGAAAATGTATTTGTAACAAAGAGATGAACTACTTACATTAATTTTAAAAACTGAAGGAAAAAATTTTAGAGAATTATTAAATATCTACATTTATTTATCTCAAAAGCTATACCTGTAGCTTGTTCTAGCTCCATATATATATTTCATTTTCTTGCATTTTGCCAAAAATGATACTCCAATCCTGAAAGCTTAACAACATGCTTTCAACACATTTTGGCATTGTCCCTATTTTGCTTTATCATATTATTTTGTAAACAAACACACAAGAACTGAAAAATAAAGTCTTATAAAACAAAACATTTAAAAAAACTTCCACATAGAGGACATGTGCTTGGAAGAAAACAAGGATACAGAGTAAGGGGCAGCTCTTTTGAGGCCCAAACTTTGAATAAACCAAACAGAAATGCTAAGCATCACTAAAGGCTGAGTAAGAGTCTGAAGAGAAACAGTTAAAACTACTAAGGAAGTAGCTGGAGAAGTCTACAGTTATTTTAGGCAGCACTTTACAAATAAAACATCATTGTTTTTCTGCTGGTAGTGTTATGAAATCACAAATCAATATTATATATCAACCTTAATATATAAATATAAAAAGATTCTAAAACCAAATTAATAAATATTCAGTGGGTTATCTCTTTAGATTATCTTTAGCATGGTCCTAATTCTATCAAATCAATAATTAAGAATTTACTATTTTCATTATGTAATAATTATGTAAAAGTTAAGATTAAGAACTAATACAGGCCTTCTTGATCTTCCTTTTAATTCTGTAAATGCACTATTACTCAGACCAAGTCAAGACATTTAGCTTTGGGGCAGAGTAAGCTTTGACATTTTAAGAAAACTAGGTGCGAGGCACAATTTTCGAGTTTATCATTTCCTGGACTAAGGGATCTACAAGACTACATGCATGAGTTTAGGATGATATTTACAATCAACTACATGGAAGTAATTAATCTCAAATTGAAGAAATAAATTTTAATTACTGAAAGAAAAAAACATATTCTTTCTTAAATTTCTCTATTAATTGTTTTTAAAGTTAGATGTCTTCTAACTTTATATCATCCATAACATCCAGCCAATTTACTCTAAATGTACTTCAGCACTTACCCTGAGGAATGCAATCTTGTTTCTAACATCTGTCACAATGGCATTCCAACTATCTACCGCAGCCTTTAACTGAAGTGATTCTAGGTTGCTGATGTAGAAAAGGAGACACAAGAGAAAGCACTTTCTTTTTATGTAACACTTAGGTTTTCAAAAATTCCATTATGTTTTCTAGCACTGTGGTCCCCAACCCCCCAGCCATGGACATGTTAGGAACATGGATGCACAGCAGGAAGTGAACAGCAGGTGAGTGAGTGAAGCTTCAACTGCATTTACAGCCACTCCCCATCACTTGCATCACCACCTGAGCTCCACCTTCTGTCAGATCAGGGGTGGCTGATATTAGATTCTCATAGGAGTCTGAACCCTGCTGTAAACTGCATATGCAAGGGATCTGGGTTGCCTGCTCATTATGAAAATCTAATGCCTAATGATCTGAGGTGGTGATACTAGGGCTGGGGAGCAGCTGCAAATACAGATTATCATTAGTAGAGAGGTTTGACTGCACAACAAATGTAATGTGCTTGAATCATCTTGAAACCATCCCCCTCACAGGCCCCCGTCTGTGGAAAATTATCTTCCATGAAACCGGTCCTGGTACCAAAAAGGCTGGGGATCCCTGTTCTAGCATACATGTATATAACATAAAACAACAAAATTACCGCATCACCAGCAATTACCTCAAATGGACACAAAGATGTACTGAAGGGCTTGTTATTAAAAATTAAAAACAAAAACTAGTAATATATAAGAATTCTTTTTATCAAGAGCAAATATAATTTATGCTTGTAGAACTCCAAGTTTTTCCTATCTTGGCAATACTTTTTTAAGACATATTATAAAATTTTTGTACAGGAATAATTCCAATGTAGTAGGTAAGCAGAGAAGGCCAAACAGAGATTTGCCTTAGTTATCTAATGCAAGGGCATTCTCAGAAATATTGACCCATCTTGGTAGCACGTTTTGGACTATCTACATATTAACCCTGACATCACAGATCCATGGTTGGCTTATGTAGTTCCTTTGAAAATTAGAAAAACAAATTGCCTCTGGTAGGGAAAATTAGAAGTACCTTTTCTGTGTGAATGAATGAAGTTGCAGCCTTTGTGAAGTGCATAAACTGCATAAACACAGCAGCTCTACCAACCCATGCCCACCAAATTGTTTAAAGTAGGAAGAACTTTGAGTTCTTTAGGGTCTACATCTCTAAAGGAGAGATTTCACACAGTCTTTCAAAAGGTTCTATATGTTATAACATCCCCACTGTAGTATCACCCAGCCCAACAGTTTTACAAGAGATAGACAAGTTATAAGCTAGTATCATCTCATATAAAGAGGCTTCATAATATTCTAATTTATGGAGCACCCTTTCTCCTAGCAAGCAAAGATAGACTGATTACTTACAACAGTACTTCCCTGACCTGAAAGCGTATCTGTACAATCTGAGAATCTTACTAAACATCAGAGACTATGATTCTTCAGAATTAAAGAACAATGGTGATCATTAAAATAATAATCATTTAAAAAAGTGATGATGTCTTAGTCCCAGAGATTCTAATTTAATTAATTCCGGAAGTTTGAATGTATACCCTATAAGATTATAAATTTAAGGAGAATTTTATGCAACCTGTCCAATATTGAAAATACTCTATAATTATCATAAAAGCACAGCTGAAAACTGTCTCGAACATCTGATTTTAGGTGTTAATACTGATTTTTTACTCAATACATTCCAAAGGTATTTAAAATTAAGCCTTAGAAGGAAAAACAATTAGAAAAAAAGTCTTCCAATTAGAATCCACCTTATTTTGTAAATATCTGGTCTACATGCATTTCTCTGACTGATACTTTTGATCTACTTCGCCATAGAGGAAAGGAAAAATCTTTCAGCAGCTATTACTGCACTCAGTAAACTTCTCAGTGCTCTGGCACAGGCAACAAAGTATAAGCATCAAAGTAACTAAATGACTTTTGAGGTTTAAAAAAAACAAGAGCTTCTTTACACCAAAGACTCTGATGTCATATGTGTAAAACACATCACAGATATGTGAGACACCTTGGAGATACTTGCGAATATCTCTAAGATCAAGATGCATTAAGAAAGAGGGAAAGATTACCTTGCTGCCATGTGAGTCACCCTGGCAAGCTGACTGAGACACTCCTTTTCAGTCTGCTCTAGATGAAGCAAACCAAAATCTCTACGACACTGTAAAAAGTACACCTATGGATTTTTGAGAGAAAGAGAAATATTGAATGTGTCCTTCTTATAAATGAACATTCTCTTCTCAATCATCTCAAGTAAATTTTAAGCTATTTTCAATTTCTTCCAACAGTACCTGGGCTTTTACATTTTCAATTTCTTCCAACAGTACCTGGGCTTTACAAAGCTATTTTGATCAATGTATGTCTACAATTCTAATTTCCATCTTCAATGGTTCCTGGGTTGGTAAACATTCTAGAACATTACTTTTCAAGCTTACACTCATACTGGAATCACCTTACAAACTTTAAAAAAATGATGCCTTGCTCCCAGAGATTCTAATTTCATTGATACTGGATTTAGCCTGGGCATTGGGATTTTTTAAGGCTCTCAGGTAACTCTAACATGCAGCAAAATTTGAGAACACTCAAAAGAAGTCTTGCAATTTTTTTTTCACTGCTGAAAAGGTAATAAAATAATCAGATCATATGGAGACATACAGTCCAATGGGCCTTGGAGATCATCTTGTCCAACATCTCTCCCATAATAGGATGCCTTTCCACATCACTACTGATGCACAATCATGTAGCCTCTGTTATTTATTACTACTCAATATTGACTAAAAATATACTCTTGGACAACATTAAGTATTAGAAAGTTCTTCCTGCCTAAAATTAATGGAAGCAGAAAGAGGCCTTTTGACCAAAAACAGTGAAAAACAAAGTACACAAAATTGATCTTTGAAGGTAATATGAACTTTTTCTCTTTTTAAAGCTATTGCCCCAACACTATTCTTCATGGATTTTTGATCCTTGGTCCTTGATTCCTTGGTTGTTGAATTCTGGGATGCCAAGTACTCTGCTAGGGAATAGAGCTTACCCATGACAGAAGTGGGAGGGTTTGTAATGCTTTTAATGTCAGCAAGCTCTCTAAAAATGTTAATCTTACTGTATTATCAAGTTTGGTTATCTATTAACAAAAATTACATACACACATACAATCATATTTCTTTTGAGAGACCCCAGCTGTGGTATTCTAGAATAACTTAGAAGAAATTGGGTGACTATGAGAATCTGCACAATTTAGACACTAAGTTGATTTTTGACATTGGGGTATATGATGTGTATGCATTTTTGGAAGATCTGTATAGGACGGAGTAGACAAAGAAGATACTATGGCAGCAGTAAAATGTTACTCTTAGAAGTTTTGCTTAGTGACCCGGTTTCATGAGAATTTTCCCAAGATGTCTGTATTTGCTGTAGCTACTGCAACATACCAATTTCTTAGAGTCACCAGAGTAAAACAACACAAGGTCATCAATACTGAAGTACTTTCATGCACAATATGCCAATTAGTCAAAAAAAGCACAAGACTTTGAGCTATGTTTTCCTGGCTGGACCTAAGATGTCTTATTTCTGTTTATTCAAAAACCATCTTTTAAAAATTCTTTAGTATTATTAGTATAAAATAAAACTTCCCCCTCTCACTCCATGCCCATCTCCTCACCCCCCCTTTTATTTACCTCAGCTGTTAAAGCTCTGCTAGTTTCTGCATTCAGTTTGCTTACATATGTTTTCATTGTACTTTCCAGATTATGTTTCTCCATTTCCCACTGAGATCTGAAATATATGATCGTTAAAGAGTCAGCAATAAAAAAAAAAAAGAGTCAGCAATATTATAGCAAGGACAACCTTTTTCAGGAGGAAAAAAGATATGTTATACAATTAGTAGGAAATTATTTTTTGGAAAAGTATATAGCACATAAAATAAGAGAAGACATTGATCCACCCTACTATTATTCTTTACTATCAAGAATGCATAAGCCCTAAAGTTGTTGGGATAGAGGTTATAATTTAAAACTTGGCTCTGAAATCAAGTTGTCTGAGGATGAATCTTAGCTCCACAACTTATTAAATGTAAAACATTGGGCAAGTACAAATGACTGAATATTTGTGTCCCACTAAAAATTCATGTGTTGAAATACTAAGCTCCAAGGTGCTGGTATTAGGAGGCAGTGCCATTGGGAGATGATTAGTCATGAGGGTAGAATCCTTATGAATGGAATGAGTGCTCTTATAAAAGAGGCCTGAGAGTTCCCTTGCTTCTGCCACCCTCCACCCCTGCCATGTGAGGTTACAGTGAGATGGTAATCTATGAGGAAGCAGATCCTCACCAGACATTGAATCTATTGGCACCTTGATCTTGGACTTCCCAGCCTCCAGAACCAGAAGAGAAATACATTTCTGTTGTTTATAAGCCACTCAGTAATTGGTATTTTATTATAGCAGTCCAAAAATTATGATAACAAGTTAATTTTTATATACCTCAGTTTCCTCACACATAAAAATGGAGAAAATTATATTGCTTACCTCAAAGAGCTGTTATGAAAATTCATTCAGATAATATACATAAAACACTTTGTGTATGGCACATAAGTACTAAATAAATGTTAGCTATTATCATTATTAATACACTTTACATAACAAAGTTTCTATAAGTTTCTTTGTATCCCAAAAATAGCAATCACATAGGTTTTTATTATCTCTGTCATAAAGTGAAGTCACTGCATTAAAATACTTTACTGGTTATTTCACTGCTCACATTCAACACCTTAGAATGAAAGTAAATCCTATACCTTGAGAGGTAAGAAAGGAGATGATGGTAAGGACATTGTTTATGTAAAATGGCTACCTATGAGGTTTCTTTTTTTTTCCTAATCCATCTCATCTTCCTACACTTGAGTCCCAAAATTCTACAGAATACAAAACAAATTTTGTCTTTAATGAAAACAATTAATTGAAAATAGAACATTATAGAAGGGACTGTCACTAAAGCCATCCTCAGTGTTTTATTATTAGAAACACCTGGATGCTTGAGGACCTGATAAACATTGATGAGACAATTGATAACATATATTGTTAAATACCATTAAGGCCAGAATTTTTTTGAGGGGAAGAAAATCACAAAATATTCAAGCAGATAGGAATTAATTAGATATTGTGCAAAATTTGCCTACAAGAAAAAAATAAATTAGACTTTATCAAAATTAAAAACCTTAGTGCTTTAAATGACATCATCAAGAAAGTGAAAAGACAACCCACAGAATGGAAGAAAACATTTTCCAATCATGTATCTGATAAGGAATTTGTATTCAATACATAAAAAGAACTCTTAAAACTCAACAATAAAAAGACAATTCAATTTTTAAAATGGGCAAGGGATTTGAATAGACATTTCTCCAATAGGCACGTGAAAAGATGCTCAACATAATTAATGGGAAAATGCAAATCAAAACCGCAGTGATAATTTCACAAGTAATACAATGGGTAAAATAAAGACAGATAATCTAACAAGTGTTGGTAAGAATGTGGAGAAATTGGAACCCCCATATACTGTTGGTGGGACAGTAATATGGTACATTCACTTAGAAAACAGTTTGGCAATTCTTCAAAAGTTAAACACAAAGTTTATTGATAACCCAGCAATTCTATTCTGTGGTATATGCCCAAGAGATATGAAAATATGTTCACAAAAAATCTGTATATAAATATTCATAATAGCATTATTCATAATAGCCAAAAAAAATAGAAACAACTCAATGTCCATCAACTGATAAAAAATAAAATGTGGTATATTCAAAGAAAAGAATATTATTTATCCATAAAAGGGAGTGAGTATTGATATATACTACAACATGGATGAATTTTGAAAATATTAAGTAAAAGAAGTTAATCGCCAGAGGCCACACATTATATGATTTAATTTACATGAAATGTCCAAAATAGGCAAAAACAGAGAGAAAATAGTTTAGTGGTTGCCAGAAGCTGCAGAAAGAGGGAAGACGGAGTGACTTTTAATGTACAAGGTTCCTTTTTGGGATGAAAAAAATGTTCTGGAAATAAATAGTGGTGATGGTTGTATACCGCTGTGAATATACTAAAAGAACAATAAATTGTATACTTTAACACAGTGAACTTTACTCTATATGAAAGAGATCTCAAAAAAGCTATTATTAAAAAAATGACCACTGGGCATGGTGGCTCACGCCTGTAATCCTAGCACATTGAGAGGCCGAGGCAGGAGGACTGCTTGAGCTCAAGAGCTCGAGACCAACCTGAGCAAGAGTGAGACTCCATCTCTACAAAAAAATAGAAAGATTAGTTAGGTGTAGTGGCATGTGCCTGAGTCCCAGCTACTCAGGAGGCTGAGGAAAGAGGACTAATTGAACCTAGGAGTTTGGGGCTGTACAAGCTATGATTGTGCCCACTATACTTTAGCCTGGACAACAAAGTGAATTTTTTATTTCAAAAATATAAAAAATGAATAATAAAAAGAAATAAATAAATTACCCACAGGTAAAAATAGGTGAATAACACTTAGCCAGTTTCATATAGCAGTCATACTTAGTAGTATTGATTAGGGGAAGGAAATAAGAACTCTGAAGCTCTAGCCCCTGGCAATAGTTAGTTGTGTTACCATAACTTTGTTGATACAATTTCTCTCGGCAGTTTTCTAGAGCCAAAGCTAAGGTGACCATACCTCCCAATATGTCTAGGACACTTCCAGTATACAACTATTGTCCTAGTACAACTATCAATACTGTTCAATATCAGGCCCAAAAGTAATCCAGTTTGAATGATAAATTATATGGCTACTGTTGCCAGAATGTATTGAATTTCAGAGATAGTGCACCCATCCAAAGAAAAAGCTAAGTTTGTACCTTTTCATGGAAAGTTGCTCTTTAAGGTTCTTGATTTCATTATCTTTAGCATGGATTTGACGTTGTAATCTAAGCAAATAAGAAAGTCATAAAATGTCAGAAACTGTTTCTCATTAACACAGTCAAAACAGCTCTACCTGTAGCTGAGGAGGGGACCGGGGATGTCCATTTTGCACCACGAATCTTGAGCCTGAAAACAATAACTTGACTCTTATACCTGGTCCTTTTGACATTTATCTTTCTTGTTTCTGATGTCTGATTTACTGACTTTCCTGTAAAAGGGGAATTAAGTTCTAACTCAAGTAAATTAGAAAGGGAGAAATTAGAAAGAGAGAAGTATTTATCCTATATCCCCAGATTAATGCTTTGGAAAAATGTTTTAAGCTTTTTAGTTTCCCACTAGAAAACACAGATGGTATCTTCTGATTTTCTAAGCCTGTGGTGGGATCGAGAACTTTTAAATTCTTTCAAGAGATATCTCAAATCATGCAAATTATTAAAGAGTTAAGGTCTGAAGGAAATCAGACCTTAAATACAGAAATAATGAGGCTGTGTGCAAACAAGAATTTTCATTAAAACTATAACCTGAGAGTCACTCACATGACCTAATCACGGAAAGGATGGGTAAAAATTTTGTACAAATCAGAAGGCATAACCTGTGATCAACTTAAAAATTAATATGTAAGAAACTACTAAGAGAAATGCAAAGTAATACTTTTTGACATATATTCAGATACCATTTTTGATGTTCCTCCCTCATGCTGCTATATTTCTTTTTACAACCAAGATTTTATATAAATCCAATAATTAGCTTCAATATGAAGAGATTTACGCAAAAGTATATTTCTCTTTAAGTCTCTTGGGATAAATCAGAGTTTGGGTTAATATAAATTATTGGAATGATAAAGCTTTGAAACCATAACTTCAATGTTGACTGTATTACATACTTCTAGATATCAGAGACTAACTACTCACATTTACTCTAAGCTTCTTAGAAGCTATAAGACTTATAATCAATGTTCTGTTGGTCTGAGAATGTAGTGAAAAGAAACCAGGTCTCTTTCTGTACAAAAGAGGTCATGTTCTCAAGTGAATAAGAAATATAAGCTTTGTTACTGTAATATACAGGACTATGTTTACAGAGTAGAAAGTAGTAATATTTCTAAAATTGACATGTTCTTTTCCTTTGTATAGTTCCCTTACTTCAGTATTTTTACCGGTTCTAGTTTAGTCAGTAAGAGTTGACAGAACTAGTCAGAAATTCAGAAGATCTGGATTCTTAAATAATAGAAGATAAGGCAGGCATAGTTCTTATTATCCAGGTCAGATATGAACAAGTTATATATGTTCAGATAGTCATAACTTTTTTTTGATTTCAGCATATTATGGGGATACAAATGTTTAGGTTATGTATATTGCCCTTGGCCCCTCCTCCCACCCCTAAACCAGATAGTCATAATTTTTCAGTCCTATTTTTCTCATGTATAACATGATATCGTTGGGGGGTGGAGCAAGATGGCGGATGAGAAACACTGCCAGACAGAGTGTCTCTGCAGAAAAGACAGATTCTAGCAGAAATCAGAAAAAAGAAGCAAGAAGACGAGCATACAGCGGACGAGGGCCGGAGGAGGGGTACCTGAGACCCCAGGAGACTCCACGGGAGGAGGCTGCGGAGAAGAATTGGAGGCTGAGACCACCGGAGCAGCCCGGAGACCAGCGGCAAGGGTAGGTGGATTTGCTGTTTCCCCTTCCCTGCATTTGGGACTGCTGGTGGGCTCCCCAGCGGGTGGAGACACCTGCAGACACCAGCCCAGAGACAGCCGCCGCCAGCCAGTGGTGAGCCTGTAGCAGACGTGGCACCAGGTTCCCAACTTCCTCCGGGCACCTCCGTGTGCACAGACCCGAGCCGCGCGGCAGGCGCCATATTGCCTCCTCCTCCCCTCCGCCGAGCGGCTGCCCAGACAGGCAATACAGCCACCAGCCGGAGGCACCTCCAGGGAACGGGACCTTCCCTTTTGGGACCCTACAGCTGACTCAGGGGAACTCAGACTGTGAGCTCCCTACCCGCCTGCTCTCCCAGGTGCTGCTGGCACGGTGTTCCCAGGAGAACGATGCTGACTCAGAGGCTGAGAGACATAGACCTAGCTTGCGCTCCCTGTGGGTGAACTGGGACCAGAACTCCTCTCCCTGGTGGGGATACAGTTTGAACTCTGGGACCCAGAGGTCAGACCTGCAGACCAGATCCCCTGCACCAAGGGCTAGCATTGCCCGGGGCACAGAAGGGTTATACGTGAACAGCCTACTGAGGTGTGTGTGCTCCAGGGGC